CCATCCTATGTTGGCGCTCAAAGAATAATCCTCCTGAGGTCCAGTGCGTCCAGCCTGAGGAGTATAAAGCAAAGCAGAAGATAAAAATGGTGGAGACACTCTCCACTCATCACTGCTTCCAAATTCACATCGTTATTTAGGCAATACCTAATGTAGCAGATGTGTGAAATCTGTTGAATGAAAACCACTTCAATCTTGCTGCTGTGCCAGAATATGAGGGATGTCTACCGATTCTCCTGCCCCCCTCCTCCTTGCCCTAAGTGGTAACAGTCATGTGCCATGGCTTTCCAATTGAAACTCAGGCTTTCCTTGACATATTACTGGTATAGCTCATCTCCACCCATATTTTCATGATTGGAAATTGTTTTCCGCCATTCATCTTTATTTTTATTCACATATTTATGAAGAGAGACTCAGTTTTTCAGTTGTATGAACAGAATGAAAAGGCATGAACACAAAGACTACAAAGAAGCCCCTCATTCATTCCTGACCTCAGCCCCTAGGGTCACTTGCAATAGCACAATGGACTAGATTCCATTTGCATCGGACCTCAGAGATCCAGACACATATTCATCATACACGACTCATACGCCACCAGTAGTCATCATCTATCCAATACTGTCCCTCCTTCTCTTTGCGTATTTCTACATTGTGTACTGATTGAGGCAATGAATCTCTCATAAATATTGAAAACCCATTAATCACACAACCTAAGGGCAGTCAGGATATCCCTCTTCTCTCCATAGTTCATTCTCACAGTAGTATTCTCTCCTGTAAATCACGATGCTGGTTTGGGGTTGTTGTGGTTTGGTTTGTTTTGTTTTGCTTTGCTTTGTTTTTTTCATGAGGCAGTAATCAATTAATGTTGCGTAAAATGTAACATTTATCACCAAGCTGCACTGGCTTTCTGTTTTCCTATAGGGATCTTTCCAATAATACACTGAATGCAACACAGAGGGACAAAAAAATAACGGAAACCATAACATGAAATTTGATTATTACTCACATGGGTTCTGGCAATGATAAGATGCCATCACCGTGAAATACTGATAGCTTGCTCAGCTCGAATGTGTCCACTTTAATCAGTAGAAAGAACAGTCGATGACAGAAAAGAGAGAGAGAGAAAGAAACTTTATGGACCTTGATGCTTTCTTTGCAGATTTAATGTTCTCAGTCATGGAGAATTGATCACTTTCGTAATGCAGAGATTTTTCTTTTTCTACACACCAAAATACCCTCAAACTTCACAGCGACCCAGAACAATAAAACTGACTCTTAATTATTCACATCTAAATGATGCTTGGCCAAAAAGTTGACCTCATAGGCCCATTTGTTATCAATGGGCATCAGTGGTGGTAATCTTTAGGATTACTTATTGCTGGAACACGTGTCCAATGTAGGCAATGATTGACCTTTTCTTCTTAATATACTATTTCCATATTTTGAACCATTCTATCACTGATCTATTAACAGTATGAAATCAGAATTGTGTAACCCAAACAAAGGGCATGACTTTATATATGCCGGACACCTGTCTATAAGAAGAAACCAATGGAGAAAACAGAGTATGAATCCTTCTTGGCCATCAGGCTTCCAGATACTTATGGTTCCCTACCCAGGCCTCATCCTATACCCAAATTGATCGTTGGTCCCCTTGGGTCCAATTTTATTTCATTCATTGATATATATCAATTAAATCATTACATCAGTGATACTAATGAACGAAAGACATGAATACCCAAAACCCAAGAACAAGACCTGAAAATATCCCTAACTTCTCTCCAATCACTATCACCATACATGAGATCACTTTCCTTAATGAACTTCCAGGATCTAGATAATCACTTCTTCAGCATAAGCTCTCATGGCTTGTTTATCAACAGGCCTTCATCAACCCTTTTATATATATTGATGACTTTTACAAATACAATAAAAACAGTTAAACCAATTCCCCAAACCAAGACAGGAAACCTGGCCATAGCTCACCTGGGTGTCTGTCCCATAGCAACCTGAAAAGGAGAACCTTGATCACAATGGAGGCTGAAATCTCCTTGAGCTTCTATTCTGAAAAGTACCAAACAGAGAAGGTGATGACGAGATGGAGACTTTCTCTCCATGGATCTGCCTATTTGTTGATTGATGCTTTCATTGGCTCAATTCACATAACCAATGAAAACCAATGAGGAGAAAGACCACATTTCTTTTGTATTGGACCTCAAAGTTCCAGTCACATATTATTCATCACCGATGACTCATGCTGGCATTTATCATCATCGATCCAGAAAAGATGACTTTCTCGTCATTCAATATGTGTCACTGATTCATGCGTTACTTCACTAATGCCAATTTTGACACTCTAGGTTTTGCAGAACCCAGCAAGGCCTCAATGTCGCTCACCTGTCTCTAGAACCATTCTCACATCATCATATCTCTCTCATATTTATTATCGGCTTTCTGCTTCACAGCAGTTCCTTGTTTATCAGTGGGATAAAGATGCCCTCCTTCAATTTTCTTTCACCAATTTTGTTAGCATAGTCATTACTTTTAGTGAAAACACCCACCCCCAGACTAGGAACTAGATGATGCTCACATGGGCTCCCATGACCAAGATGCCATTCTAGGCTGGCACTCGAGGACGAAGCCTCTTTTTTGGTCCAGTGCATCCATTCTGAGGAGTATAAAGCAAAGCAGAAGATAAAAATGGTGGAGACACTCACCACTCATCCCGGCTTCCACATTTCCATTGTTATTTAGGCAATCTCTAACACAGCGGATATGTGAAATCTGTTGAAAAGAAACCAGTTCAATCTTGCCGGTGTGTCATATTATGAAGTTTTTCTACCCATTATCCTGGCCTGCTCCTCCTTACCCTAGTGGTAACAGTCATGTGCCATGACTTTCTAATTGAAATTCAGGCTTTCCTTAATATATTAATGGTATATCTCGCCTCCACCCATATTTCCGTGATTGGTCATTGCTGCCGTTAATTTTTTTTATTCAACTATTTATGAAGACAGCCTCAGTTTTTCAATTGTTGAACAGAATGAAAAGGCATGCATACAAAGACCACCAAGAAGCCCCTCATCATTCCTGACCTCTGCCTCTAGGGTCACTTCCCATAGGACAATGGACTAGATTCCATGTGCACTGGAACTCCTAGATCCACTTGTTATTAATGGGCATCACTGGTGGCAGTCCATAGGATTACTTCTTGCTGAAGCACATGTGTCCACAGTAGGCAATAATTGACCTTTTCTTCTTAACCTACTATTTACTTATTTTGAAGGGTTCTATCACTGATCGATTAATAGTACGAAAACTAAATTGAGTAACCAAAATAAAAGCATGACATCATATATTCCGAACATCTGTCCATAGGAAGAAATCAATGTAGAAAACAGAGTACGTATCCTTCTTTGCCGTCCGGCCTCCAAATACTTATGGCTCCTTGCCGATGCCTCATCCTCTACCCATCTTCATCATTGGTCCCCTTGGGTCGAATTTTACTTCATTTATTTATATATCCCTATCAATTAAATCATTACATTATTGATACTAATGAAAGAAAGACACAAATACCCAAAACCCAAGAACAAGACCTGCGAATATCCCTAACTTCTCTCCAATCACTACCACCATACATGAGATCTCTTTTCTTAATGAATTTCCAGGATCTAGATGACCACTTCATCAGCATAAGCTCTCATGGCTTGTTTTACAATGGGCCATCATCAACCCTTTGAAATATGTCAATGAGTTTTGAGAATACAATGAAAGCACTTAAATCAATTCCCCAAACCAAGACAGGAACCCTGGACAAAACTCACCTGGGTCTCTGTCCCATAGCAACCCGAAATGGAGAAACTTGATCAAAATGGAGGCTGAAATTACCTTGAGTCTCTATTCTAAAAAGTACAAGGGAAGGTGATGATGAGATGGAGACTTTCTCTCCATGGATCAGCAGATTTGTTGCTTGATGCATTCATTGGCTCAGTTAGCATAACCAATGAAAATGCATGAAGAGAAAGACCACATTTCTTTTGTATTGGACCTCAGAGTTCCAGACACATATTATTCATCATCGACGACTCATACGCTGGCATTTATCAACATTGATCCAGAAAAGATGATTTTCTCTTCATTCTGTACGGTTCACTGATTCATGCATTAATTCACTAATGCGAATTTTGACACTGGGGTTCGCAAAACCCAATGTGGCCTCGCTATCGCTCACCTGTCTTGAACTATTCTCACACCATTATATCTTTCTCATATTTATTATCAGCGTTTTGCTTCACAACAGTTCCTTGTTTATCAATGGGATAAAGATGCCATTCTCTAATTTTCCTTCACCCATGTTGTTAATATACTCATTACTTTTGGGGAAAACACCCATCCCCAGACTAGGAACTAGATGATGCTCACAAGGGTCTCCTGGCTCCTACGACCAAGATGCCATCCTAGGCTGGCACTCAAGGAAGAATCTTCATTTCTGGTCCAGTGTGTCCACTCTGAGGTGTATAAAGCAAAGCAGAAGATTAAAATGGTGGAGACACTCTCCACTCATCCCTGCTTCCACATTCACATCATTATATAGGAAATCCCTGATGTAGTGGATATACGAAAGCTTTTGAAAAGGAACCACTTCAATATTGCCTCTGTGCCAGAATATGAATGTTGTCTACCACTTCTCCTGGCCCCCACCTCATTACCGTAAGTGGTAACAGTCATGTGCCATGGCTTTCTAATTGAATTTCAGGCTTTCCTTGATATATTAATCGTATATCTCATCTCCACCCAAATTTCTGTGACTGGAAATTGTTTTCCATCATTCATCTTTAGTTTTATTCATATATTTATGAAGAGAGCCTCAGTTTTTCAATTGTACAAACAGAATGAAAAGGCATAAAAACAAAGACTGCAAAGAAGACCCTCATTCATTCCTGACTTCAGCCTCTAGGGTCACTACCAATAGGACAATGGACTAGATTCCATTTGCATTGGACCTCAGAGTTCCAGACACATATTCATTGTACATGACTCGTACGCCACCAGTAGTCAACATCGATCCAATAGTGTCCCTCCTTCTCTTCACGTATTTCTACATCGTGTACTGATTGAGGCAATAAATCTCTCACAGGTATTAATCACGAAACCTAAGGGCAGTCATGATATCCCTCTTCTCTCCATAATTTATTCTCACAGCAGTGTGTCTCACCTGTAAATCACAATGCTGATTTTGTCTTGTTGTGGTTTGTTTTGTTTTGCCTTGTTTTTTTCATTGGGGCAGTAAGCAATTAATATTTCATAAAATGTAACATTTATCACTGAGCTGACTGGCCTTCTGTTTTCCTATAGGGATCTCTCTAGTAATATACTGAATACATACACATAGGGACAAAATAATAATAGAAACCATGACATGAAATTTGATTATTACTCACATGGGTTCCTGCAATTATAAGGTGCCTCACCATGGAATACTGATGGCTTGATCAGCTCGAACATGCCCACTTTAATCAATAGAAAGCACAGTCGATGAAACGAGAGAGAGAGAAAGGAAACTTTATGGACTTTGATGCATTCTTTCCAGATTTAATGTTCTCAGTCATGAGGAATTGGTCACTCTTTCATAACGCAGAGATTTTTCTTTTTCTACAAACAAAAATACCGTCAAACTTGAGAGCACCCCAGAACAATAAAATTGACTCTTAATTATTCACATCCACATGAAGCTTGGCCAAACAGCTGACCTCCTAGATCCATTTGTTATTAACGGTCATCACCAGTGGAAATATTTAGGATTGCTTCTTGCCAGACCACATGTGTCCACAGTAGGAATTAACTGACTTTTTCTTCTTAATCTACTATTTACATATTTTGAACGGTTCTATCACTTATCGATTAATAATATGAAATCTAAATTGAGTAACCCAAACTAAGAGCATGATGTTATATATTCTGAACATCTGTCCATAGGAAGAAATCAAAGTAGAAAACAGAGTATGTATCCTTCTTGGCCCTCAAATTCCAGATACTTATAGTTCCTTGCCCATGCCTCATCCTCTACCCACCTTGTTTGTTGGTCCCCTTGGGTTCAATTTTAGTTCGTTCATTGACATATCTCTATCAAATAAATCATTATACCATTGATACTAATGAAAGAAAGACATGAATACGCCAAACCCAAGAACAAGACCTGCAAATATCCCTAACTTCTATCCAATCACTATCACCATACATGTGATCTCTTTCCTTAATGCATTTCCAGGATCTAGATGATCACTTCATCAGCATAAGCTCTCATGGCTTATTTTTCAACGGGCCATCATCAACCCTTTGATATATATCGATGACTTTTGAGAATACAATGAAAACACTTAAACGAATTTCCGAAACCAAGACAGGAACCCTGGCCATGACTCACCTGGGTCTCTGTCCCATAGCAACCAGAAAAGGAGAAGCTTGATCAAAATGGAGGCTGAAATCGCCTGAGCTTCTATTCTGAAAAGTACCGAACAGAGAAGGTAATGACCGAGATTGAGACTTTCTCTCCATGGACCAGCAGATTTGTTTACTGATGCTTTCATTGGCTCAATTAGCATAACCAGTGAAAACGCATGAAGAGACAGACCACATTTCTTGTGTATTGGACCTGAGAGGTCCAGACATGTATTATTCATCATCGATGACTCATGCGCTGGCATTTATCATCATTTATCATCATCGATCCAGAAAAGATGACTTTCTCTTCATTCTATATGTTTCACTGATGCATGCGTTACTTCACTAATGCAAATTTTGACACTCTAGGGTTTGCAAAACCCAGCGAGACCTCGATATCACTCACCTGTCTCTATAACAATTCTCACATCATTATATCTCTCTCATATTTATTATCAGGTTTTTGCTTCACAATAGTTCCTTGTTTATCAATGGGATAAAGATGTCCTCCTTTAATTTTCTTTCACCCATTTTTTTTAGCTTAGTCATTACTTTTTGAGAAACCACCCACCCCCAGACTAGGAACTAGATGATGCTCACATGGGTGTCCAGGCTCCTATGACAAAGATGCCATCCTAGGCTGGCACTCAAGGAAGAATCCTCATTTCTGGTCCAGTGCACCCACTCTGAGGAGTATAAAACAAAGCAGAAGATAAAAATGGTGGAGATACTCTCCACTTATCCCTGCTTCCGCATTCACATCATTATTTAGGCAATCCCTAATGTTGAGGATATGTGAAATCTGTTGAAAAGGAATCTTCCATCTTGCCGCTGCGCCAGAATATGAAGGTTGTCAACCACTTCTCCTGACCCTTCTCCTTACCCTAAGTGGTAACAGTCATGTCCTTTGGCTTTATAATTGAAATTCTGGCTTTGCTTGACATATTACTGGTATATCTTTTTTTTTTAAACATCTTTATTGGAGTATAAATGCTTTACAATGGTGTGTTAGTTTCTGCTGTATAGCAAAGTGAATCAGCTATACATATACATTTGTCCCCATATCTCTTCCCTCTTGCATCTCCCTCCCACCCACCCTCCCTATCCCACCCCTCTAGGCGGTCACAAAGCACCGAGCTGATCTCCCTGTGCTATGCGGCTGCTTCCCACTAACTATCTATTGTCTCCACCCATATTTCCCGTAATTGGAAACGGGTTTTTTTTTTCGCTCACCTAATATTTTAAATTTTTTATTTGGGTATAATTCAGCATAGTTTTGGAAGCCCTAACCACTGGTATCAGAGAAGAAAAGAATTAAAAGTGATCCAAATTGGAAAAGGAAATGTAAAACTGTCACTATTTGCCAATGATATTATATTATACATATAAAATCATATATATGATACCAGAAAACTAGTAGAGCTCTTCAATGAACTTGGAAAAGTTGCAGGATTCAAAATTAATACACAGAAATCTCTTGCATTACTATACTCTAACAATGGAAGTTCATAAATAGGGATTACGGAAACAATCACATTTACCGTTGCATCAAAAAGAATGAAATAGCTAGGAATAAACCTTCGTAAGGAAGCCAAAGACCTGTAATTAGAAAACTATAAGATGCTGATGAAAGAAATAAAAGATGACACAAACAGATGATGAGATATACCATATTCTTGGATGAAAGAATCAATATTCTGAAAATGGCTACATATCCAAAGATATCTACAGATTCAATGCAATCCTTATCAAATTACCAATTTTTTTTTCAGAATTAGAACAAAAAACTTTACAATTTGTATGGAAATACAAAAGACCATGAATAATAGCCAAAGCAATCTGGAGAAAGAAAAACAGATCTGGAGAAATCAGGCTCCCTGACTTCAGACTCTTCTAGAAAGCTATAGTCATCAAACAGTATGGTACCAGCACAGAAACAGAAATATAGATCAATGGTACAGGATAGAAAGTCCAGAGATAAACCCACGCATTTATGGTCACCTAATCTATGACAAAAGTGGCAAGTATACATATACAATGGAGAAAAGACAGTCTCTTCAATAAGTGGTGCTGGGAAAACTGGACAGCTACATGTTGAAGAATGAAATTAGAACACACCCTAGCACCATACACAAAAATAAACTCAAAATGGATTAAAGACCTAAATGTAAGGCCAGATAGTGTAAAACTTTTAGAGGAAAACATAGGGAGAACCCTCTGTGACACAAATTGCAGCAAGATCCTTTTTGATCCATCTCCTAAACTAATGAACATAAAAACAGTAATAAACAAATGGGACCTAATTAAACTTAAAGGTTTTTGCACAGCAAAGGAAACCATTAACAAAACGAAAAGAAAACCCTCAGAATGGGGGAAAATATTTGCAAACCAAGCAATTAACAAGGGATTAGTCCCCAAAATATACAAACAGCTCATGCAGCTCTGATTCATTTTGTTGTGCAGTGGAAGCTAACACAACATTGTAAAGCAACCATGCTCCAATACATATTAATTTAAAAAATAATAAATAACAACAACCCAATCAAAAAATGGGCGTAAGATCTAAATAGACATTTCTCCCAAGAAGGTATACAGATCATTCACCTTTATTTTTAATTACATATGTATTTATAGATTCTCCCATTTTCCTATTTTAATAATAGAATGAAAAATATGAACACAAGACCAAAGTAAGCTCCTCATTTATTCCTGCCTATAGGATGCCTTCTTGAGTTGAGAATGGAATAGATTAATGTAATATCGGACCTCAAAATTCCAGACCTCAAAATTCCACTTTATATCACTCATACTGATGAACAGAAATCATCATCGATCCAACATTGGTCCTTTTTCTATGTACACATCTTTTTTTTGATTAAATAAAAAATTCACTAATTATTTTTAGCAGTACAATTCAAGAAAAAATACAAAAAGCCTTCATCTATATAGAATAATTATTACTTAAATATATATCTCTCTTTAATACATCGTTTTCTATATATGTATTAAACCATATAGTGGGTTTTATATCCATACTCAACACTGAGATGCAGTCTCCTTCTTTACTTATATTCCTCATTTCTTATTAAATATATTGAATTACTTTGATAAAACCATAGAGGAAAGAACTTCTACTATGACTCACAGTAATCTCCATCTCCTATTTCACAGAGGCAAACCCATAGCTCATATCCATGGACGATTCTAAATCACGTCTAGTGACTTCACTCTGAGGTGTACGCAACACAGAAGATGATAAAAATATTCAGACCTAATCACCACTATCTTTGTTTTCGGCATTTCTGTTACTCAGTATTTATGTTTTTATTACTTTTTCTCTCTAAATTTTTTACCTTGTTAAAAGAAAATCTCAGTCTTTTGTATGAAGCAGAACAATTAAACTGACTCTTGCTTATGCATGTCTTTCTATCTAACCTTGGCCAAACAGGTGACCCTCACCCATTTATTTAATGGGCATCAGTGTTTTCAATATTTATTAACAGTATCTTTTGTCTCGCTTCACCCTGTTTTTCCTTATGTTCATCTATATTTGCTAAATGGCTCATTATAGATCTATTAATAATAACAAATCTGTCTATGAAATCCATACAAAAATGTGACCTATTTA